TACAGGAGTCTTTCTACCTCAAAATGTCATAAAATGTTCAGTGTTTTCAGTTTTGTTACCCCAGAAAGCTGCAGGGACGCAGCATGGTGGAGTTTACGTGTTTATGTTCATATACTGAAGAGCTAAATTAAGGTATGGTCTCAAAAATCTCAAAATATAAGGTGAAATAAATGAAATATACAATTAATACTACCTCAAAAAATCATTATAGATGTGGGGGTTTGTCCAGTTGGGCCTAAAAAGGAAGTATATGTATGTGATTAGTAAAAGTACTATTTTTGCAAATAAACATTGTAAAAGAAAGAAAACACTCAGGCATTTTGGTATGGACTATGTAGATTAAGCTAAAGCTGACTGAACATGCTAAATCGGATTAAGCACAACCTATCTGGTCAGCTAAGAATCCTTAGTGAACTTAGAAGGGGGAGGAGGTTAAGGATACCACAAAGGGCTGTGGATGCAGGAGGCTGAAAAATATCAAGGGGTTATAGTTTAGGCTCAGAAAGAGAACGTGCAGAAGGTGATCAGAAGTTGAGGGGCTGGAGCAATTACCCTGCTAGAAAAACGTTCCAGAAAGGCTTATTCACTCAGCGGAGAGTGCATGTTACAAACGATCATTCCAAACATGTTTTAAAATAACAACAAACATGTTTTAAAATAACAACAAGACACACCAAGGAGGAGAATTTAACTTCTGGAATGGTAGAGCAAGAAACTGAAAATCTGCTCCTGCATAAAAGCAGCAAGAATACGACACAAATTGTCAGAATCAACTTCTTCATAACTCTGGAAATTAACTAACAGCTTGCAACAGTCCAAAGAGCATTTATTTATTCAAAAAAAAATTACTGAATCTCAGTAAGACCGATGAGCTTTGTGGTGTTATAACTTGTGCTAATTTTATCCCTCTCACTCCAGCTCTGTGGTATCCTTAAAAAACCAACAGGTTCTCAACTACTGGCTATGAAAACAAACAGGATAACAGCCACTAGAGGGGGAAAAATGAGTTTAGAACAACCCAAAAATCCCATCCCCAAAGAACTGTCACTATTTGGCCTGTCTAGAAGTTCCCTGAAAAGCTCCATGCTCAGGGCTTGTCTTCATTTGATCTAACTCAGAGTTCACACTGCCCTATTCCCAGGATATTTGTT